GATAGACCCACGGTGCCTTCCATTCCCCGTCGTTTTATGGCGTCCCCGTGTTACCTGAAACCTTGAAGCAAATATATCTAATCATTAACTGATAATGTGGAGGCACCCACACTCACATCCTGATGACTCGCATGCAGAGAAAAGTAGCCTGTTTCCAAGGAAAATGCACCTGTTTGAAAGGCAGGCAGCCCTGTCTTCTGATCCTGGCCGGCCATTACCCACTGTTGTCAACTAAGATCAGGCTGAAAACACCCAGCTTGTAAGGCTGTTTGGGCACGAAAGCTGTGAGCAAGTGCCTCCCTCAAGCAATGAAAGGGGGAGAGGGCTCCAAATTGACAGGGAAAGGATTCGTTCTTTTAACAAGGATCCTGTCAGCACAATTGACTCTCATCTGGCAGAACATAACATCCATTAACCTATGCAATACGATCTGCTATTGCGTTCATCCAATGAATATCTGCTTAGAGTCCAGGGAATATGGGAAGGCAGGTGAGGTGACAGTAGAGCCATGGAAGGCCAGTTCAAAGCCCTATGGATGGACCCAGGTCAGAGCACTGTCTACTGCACTCACCTTGTCGTGCAAGAAAGGTGTGGAAACCAGAAACAATCTCTTTTCTCCCTCCTATCCAGCAGCCACGGCCATAGAGTGATCACACAGCACATTTCAAAATAAGATCCCTTTCCTAAAAGGAAAAAAATAAATGATTGCTTTCAGAGAAAAGTGAGCGACAGGGACACTTAGCCATTTCTTTTGTTGCTAATTATTAGCCTAAGCAATCCTAAATAATCTGTCCTGCAATCCCCTGGGGAGTGGAAGTGGCTAGCACACTCACCTGCTAACCTAAAGGTTAGAAGTCCGAGTTCGACCCCAGGTGCCTCAGAAGAAAGGCCTGGTGACCTTCTGAGAACTCAGCCCTGGGGAGCACGGTTCCACGCATGTCATCACGAGCTGAAATAGACTCCACGCAACTGGATTTTAAGCTCCCCAATCAGGCTTCCTTCAATCCCTACTCCCCTTCCCGCCTGAGGCTCCTCCATCTTCCCACCTTCTCATCAACCGCCCACCCAACCTCCAACCAGCCTTCCTACAGTGTCCATGTGTCAATCATATCCACCGCTACAGACTGCAATGACGGTTCTTGTCTGTTTTGCTGTGCAAGGGGCTGGCGCTGTTTCTGGCCTGAGAGGGAGTCGGTGCCCCACAAATGGGCTTTCTTATGCTCCTGATCGAGGCGGGCAGAAGGCTTCCACCATCCAGCTCACTGCATGCCCAGTGCAGGAGTCCCCACAACAAAGCCCGGCATCAATTTCACGTTTGGGTGAATGAAAGAAACGAGCCTGCCTCTTTCTAATGGGAATGGATACCCGTTGGTTAAACTCAGAAGTCTATTGGCATCGGGGCGTTGGTGGGGTCTCGGCATTTCCTGACCCCACACCCAGTGGGTCTCAGACGTCAGGCATCAAAATCACCTGGAGAACTCAGGAAAAAGAAAGAAACATAAGGAGGCTAGACTCTGGCCTGTGTGTGTCGTACAGCATCCTACTCCCAACCCACCCTCTCCTAATCTGGAGCTTAGAAGCCCAGATGGATTGCCTTGGGAGGATCCTGGGTCTCTTTGCGGGGTAGGGGAGTGCCCAGTTTGAGAACCACTGCCTGCCCTCACTCCACCTCAAGGGTCCAGCCCTGAGGAGATCTCACCTGCCTCTAGGTCTCCTGCCTTTCTCTTCCTGCCCCCTTCCAAGCCCTTGTAACTCGCCCCAAACCAAAGCCACTGCAGCCAGTTGATTCTGGCTCCCCATGACCCTCTAGGCAGAGTTGGGCATTTCCGTAAGTCTTTACGAAAGCAGGTGATCACACCTTTCTTCCCAGGAGTTGAGCTGGCTACCTTTTCATTAGCAGCCAAGTACTTGAAGCACTGCCCCACCAGGGGTGGGGGATGGGGGCTTTCCAGCACCCTAGACGTTCTGAAATAAAACATTCCCTGGACTGACTCATGTAACAAAACCACCCCATCACCGTCCAGTGCATTCTGACACACAGAGAATAGATTGTATGTGATCGCTAAGCATGCTTCCCTGCCTGATGAAAACCCAGCTGCACCAACAGCGGGTTTTTCAAAGAAAGCATACCTTTCTTTTTTCCTTTTTAAAGAAAGTATTCCCTACTGACTACCTCACTTTGTGTTTATAGTTGTGTTTCTGGTCCCTCCCTTTCGGGTCTGCTGATTGTCTCAAGAGCCGTGCCATGCTGTTTCTATTTGAGTCACTTTAGAATGCGTTTTATTAACAAGGAGAGCCAGCCCCCCTTCACCATTATCTTTACTGTCAATATGCATTCTCTACACGATGGACTAGCCGGCCCGTGCTGTTAAATCACGACCGACCTTCACTGTTTGGCTCTCTGAGGTCACCTGATCACCAGAATGCCCCGGCTTCTCTTTCCCATCAGGCCCTGGTGAGAAGCCCAGCGCCCAGATCTATCGAGAGTTGAAAAGTTTCTTGGACACAACATTATCCCGGCCCAGTGACTTCTCAGTCTGCTTCATGACGCTCCAGGAGGAATTTTTTAAGAACCGTCCCAGAAAACTGAAGGATTTGATCCTCTTGGTAAAATACTGGTATCAGCAGGTAATTTTCAAACGATATCTATTGCTGTCATTCCTTTCCTTCCTGTTGAGATCAGGGACGTGCGACCAGCGTACGTATACAGCTCAGTGTGTTTTTCAATCCTTATAAGCAATGCCCAGATCAAACTAGAGAACGTTTCCTGCACCCCAGAAGGCTGTCGCTAGTGCAGTCAGGGCTCCCCCCCAATTGAACCACTCTTCTAATATTGTCAGGAGATACCAGTCCCTGGAGAAGGACGTCATGCTTGGTCAAGTGGAGGGGCAGCGGAAAAGAAGAAGGTCCCCAAAGGGGTTGGATGGACACAATGGCTGCGACCCTGGGCTCAGGCACAGGGACTGCTCAGTTCTGTTGTGCCCGGGGTCGCTATGGCTCCTAACAGCCACATTCTCGTATCTGTCACCAACTTGCTTTTAAATTTGATATACAGAGTCCTACTGAATAGACTTTCATGTCTGCTTTCTTCTGCTCAACATCACAGCTGACAGGTTCATCCACGTATTTGCACATTAACAGTAATTTTTCATTGTTTTGTAGCATTTCCATGTATTAAGAAACTACCCAGGGGTCCTCAAACTATGTGGCCCACATGCGGCCCACCGAGGACATTTATCCAGGCCGCCAGGTGTGTTTGCCCCATTTGTGTTCTTACTTCAAAATAAGATATGTGCAGTGGGCATAGGAATGTGTTCATAGTTTGTTTTTTTTAACTATAGTCCGGCCCTCCAACAGTCTGAGGGACCGTGAACTGGACCCCTGTTTAAAAAGTTTGAGGACTCCTGGTTTACCCATTGACCGGTGCAACTGTGAATAGATATCTGGATGATTCCCAAATTGGAGCGGTTATGAATTCATTTACTACCCTCTCCTATGTGTCTCTCAGTGAGTTTCAGCACTTGTTCTCCTTGGGTCAGTCTTTAGGGATGGAATTGCTGGGTTGTAAAATACATGTGCATGCATATGTGTGTGAATACAGAGGTGTCTGCATAGGCACATACTTTGGACATGTCACAAGAGGCCAGTCCCTGGAGAAGGGCATTGTGCTTGGTAAAGTGGAGGGGTAGTGAGAAAGAGGAAGACCTTTGACCAGATGGATCGACGCCATGGCGACCATAGACTCAAACACAGCAACTAAGGTGAGGATGGAGCAGGACCGGGCGGTGTTTCTTTCTGTTGTACGGAGAGTGGCGCTGAGCTAGAACTGACTGGGCAGTAGCTAACAACAACAACAAAAACAACAACTGATACATTTGCCATAGTTATGAGTGGAGAATGGATGGCTGTATTTAGATTTTGTGAACGCTACCTGCCAAGTTCCCAAAAATGGTTGCACCAAATTACATTCCCCTCGGCAGTGTACCAGAGTTCTAGTTTCTCCATTTCCTTGTCAACCCTTGATGCTGTCAATCCAGTTAACTGTAAACATCCTGGTAGAGAACGGTGGCTTCATATAGGCTTCTAATCTCTTGCTTCCAGATTCCTCACATGGGAATCCTGGATCCCCAAATGAGCTCTGGTTGTCCTTTTTCTCCCACAGTGTCAGGAAAAGCGTAGGGATCCAGGCAAGCTGCCTGCCTATGCTCTGGAGCTGCTGACGGTGTATGCCTGGGAACAGGGATGCGGACAAGACGACTTCGAGCTAGCCGAAGGCATCCGAACTGTTCTCTGGCTCATCACGCAGCACAAGAAGCTGTGTGTCTACTGGACAGTCAACTACAACTTTGAGAATGAGACGATGAAGAATATCCTGCTGTACCAGCTCCGGGCACCGAGGTACCCCAGGGCCCTCTCCTTCCACCTCTTTCTGCGTGGTCTGGGCTGTAGCCTTTAGAATGAGGTCCTGGCCTTGTCCTGCCGAGCCAGTGATGTGTCCAATCATGTCAGGAGGGAAGAACAGAGAGGTCTGTCTAAAAGAGAGGACGCCCTGGCCTGTGCTTTTCACCTTGTGTCCCGTCACACGGTGTCTCCAAGACAAATCCCAAGGGCCTTTCAAAAGCAAATACAAAGAGCACTTCAATGCCATAAAGTCCACCCCAATGCCTAGCAACCCAATAGGACAGAGTAGAACTGTCCTTCTGGGTTTCCTCAGCTGTCAATCTTAGGGGAGCAGGAAGGCTCTGTTTTCTCTGGCCACATGACTGGTGGGGTTTGAACCTCTGACCCTAGTTAGTTAGCAGCCCAACACATAACCCACTGTGCCACCCGTGGTACAAATGGTTAAGCACTGGGCACAAACTTGGAGGTTGGCAGTTTAAAATCCCCTCCTCTGGTGCCTCACAGAAAAGGTCTGGTGATCTCCTTCCGAAAGGCCACAGCCGTGGAAACTCAGTGGTAGTCCATAAACAACGAGAGAGACAAACAAACCCGGAGCGGTGCTTCCCCTTGAGAGGGAGACTAGACGGCTCACTGACTCTGTTATTATGAGCGGCCCAATGGCTTTTTAACCTTCTGGTCTAATGGGATTCCTAGGCCAGTCATCTTGGATCCAGTTAACCCGATGCATAATTTGAGTGGAGGTCCAGACAAGTGTTGGGAATGGCTGGACCAGGAAGCTCGAGTCTGGCTGTCGTTTCTGCGCCCGGATGATGGGTTCCCTGGACCATTCTGGAATGTTCTGGTAAGAGTCCTGTGTCATGCTACAGGGCAGGCCATCAGACTCCAGCCTCTTCCCAAAGCCTCCTCCCACTGACGTGATGGGTGACGGGCAAAGAGGGACAGGGGGGTATATGGTCCTCACAGAAAAGAGTCTGAAATGGATTTCTGAGGAGGTGAGAAGGTGGGGGTAGATGAAGAGGAAAGATCTAGCCAAAAGGAAGTGGCGGCAGTCAGAGGGGCTGGGACATGCTCTGGGGACCCTTCAAGCAGGTGCCAAGGGGAGAGTGGGGAGAGGGCTTGGGACAGGAGTAAGGATGGAGCCTGTGGTTGATGCACTAGGGTCCCCACACCCAACACCCAATGGAGAAAATAGCAAGTCCACCACACAGACTGCTCCCACACTCTCTGAAAAGTAGGGTTGCTATGAGTCAAAACTCACTCAAGAGCAACTGACAACAGCCATATCTCTAATGGTAATAATATGATTGATTAATATTATGAAGGTTGCTTGATCAATATTATTGTGAATAATATCATCTGTCCAATTTGCCCAATTATCTCAAGACCACACATAGCTTTGGCATTTTTTTTTTACTTGTTACTCCTGAACTCTGAGGAGGTCCTAATTGGCCATGGCTCTTGTACTCCATTCCAGCCAGGACCCACTGATAAGGAAGAGGCCCCATCCCTGCCAGATTCACTGGTGCACACATACACATGCGTGCCCATGCACATACCATACACATGTGCAGATATACCTGCATACAATGCACACTCTCGAACAGTAGTTCTCAACCTGTGGGTCGTGACCCCTTTGGGGGTCGAGCAACCTATTCACAGGGGTCGCCAATTCATAACAGTAACAAAAGTACAGTGATGAAGGAGCAACGAAAATAATGTTATGGTTGGGGGGTCACCACCACATGAGGAACTGTATGAAAGGGTTGAGGCAGTAGGAAGGTTGAGAACCCCTGCTCTAGAACAAAATCACAAGAGACCAGGCTTTTGGTCAGATAGAGAGTTGCCATCTGAAGGGGAAGAAGGCTTGAAAACGTCAAGAAAGAGGAAATGTGAAGGGATCTTATGTGCCCCTAGATGGTACCCTCCCACGGCAAGACAGGGAGTCTTTGGGTCAGAGAACCCTGAAGGGGTCTTTACACTGAGAGCAGTGTCTTATTTAAGAATAGCAGAAATTGGGGGCAGCTTCCCCAGGGAGATGAAGTAGGCGGGCTCTAAGCCACTAAATCAGCTTACTTGGGTTAATTTATGAACACTCTTTCTTGTGAATTGAGTGGAAGTCGACAGAGCAGATCAGCTGTTCATTCAGTGATCCATACCCATTTTGTTTCATCTCATTGACTGCAATCCTCACAGTGTCCCATCTCTTCTCCCACTTCCTCCCCGTGTTTCCGGTTTCCGTTCCTCCTCCTCGCCTAACACATCTGAACTCTGTCCTTGAGGAAAGGTTGCCTTTTTGATCTCGAATAGTGGATTGTCCTAAGGAGTGCACATTTCCATCGTGTTATGGTCCCTTTTATAGGTCTCTGTATTGTTTGACTGAAAATGAAGCACTGGCATCCGTTCATTTCCAGATAGAAGGTCACCAGGGTCAGAGTCAAGAGGGTGTTCCATTAGTCCCTATCTGACCAAAAACCTGGTCTCTTGTGATTTTGAGTTTTATTCTATCTCCCACTCTATCCAGGATTTTCTCGCTGGATTCCTTTCAGAGAAGTTGGTAGTGGTAGCCAAGAACTATCTAGTCCCTTCGGCCTCAAGGTTGTGGAAGCTGATGTTCATGAGGTCCAATAGTCCATTGGAAAAATTGCTTTCCTGTGTCTTTGCATTTCTCCACTCTTCTATTCTCTGCAGGGAGAGAGGCCAATGGCTGTACTTTACATGGCTGCTGATGAGCTTTTAAGGCCCCGGTTGCTACTAGCCATAGTAGGATGTAGAGCCTTGTCTTTGTGGACTATGTTATGGCCACCGATCTTGGTGGTCTAGCCCATGGTCCTGAGTACTTGGGCAATTTTCAAAACAATTGGGGATGTCAAAAACGTGAGCTTGCTGACAGTGGACTTTTGAGAGGCTGTGGAGCCTCCACTTGTTATTAAAAAGCAGATAAATCCAGGTTGATACCCAGAGATCACTTTTGACTCGTTTAGGTAACAACACGATGAAGTTGAAGAGTACAAATACTTCCTATGGGCTAAGGGAAGATGATTAGAGGGGGTTGGGGCTTCTGAGGACTCTGGTACAACTGTCAACTCTCAGGTATATGTTTGAGATATGTTCAACGAGAGGGCTGAGTAGCAGGATGGGGTGTGGGGGAGGGGGCATCACAGAGACCCCAAAGGTACAGGAAGAAGGAATCCTTGGGGTCTGCTTACAAGAAGACACTTACCACCCAGTTTCTATCTCTTCCTCCAGCCAGCACCTCTCTACATCACCCCGGACCATCTACTAGATAAGTTCATCCAAGACTTTCTCCAGCCCAGCAAAGAGTTCCTGGATCAGGTCAAGAAAGCTGTTGATATTATCTGTTCATTCCTTAAAGAAAAGTGCTTCCAAACTTCAGTAGATCGGATCAAGATTCAGAAGATCGTCAAGGTGAGTGCTGGTCTTTCTATCAAGGGACTATTCCTAAAAGGGAGAGCAACCATCATTGAAGCTCTCCAATCCTACCTGCCATCCAACACTTGAGGGCAAAGGAATAAGAAAGGGAACTTGAGGAGTTCAGGGAACTAGGCTACTGGTGCTCCGTCGAGGTGTTGATAGACTGTCTACATCACCAACAACATACTTTGGATCCTGGAAGTCCTTGGTGTTCCTTGGCTTGGGGACACATCCCTCCCAGGTCTGCTTCTGTCTTTACATCACCTTCTCACTCATGTGTCTGCTCTCCCCTTCTCTTGTAAGTGCACTGGTCATTAGATTTAAGGGACACCCTAATCCATGATGAACTCATCTCACATGACACCTACAAAGACCTTTTCCTCACATAAGGTTGCTCACAGGTTCCCAGGGGATATATCTTTTGAGAGGTGTTTGGATTGAATTCTGTCCCTTAAACATACAGGTTGTAACTCCTAGCCCCTGTTTTAACCCCGGGTGAAATTTCACGTCGGCATGGTGTTTCTTTGCTAGGTTGAGGAGGCAGACATAGTGAAGGCTATGTCTGAAGTCAGTTGTTTCTAGGATGTAGATCTGCTGCCAAGGTAGGTTATCCATGGGGCTTCTAACTGGAAGGTCAGCAGTTTGAGATCACCGGCCACTCCTCGGGAGAAAGATGAGACCCTCTACTCCTGGAAAGAGTGACAGTCTAGGAAAGCCACAGGGGCAGTCCTGCTCTGTCCTCTACGGTCACTCTGAGTCAGAACTGACTCGATGGCCGGGCGCTTGGAACCCTAGCCCAAAGCCAGCACCCTTCACAGTCTGCTCACCTCAGACCTCACTACCCAGTGTGCAGATCAACCCGGTGTGCAGGTCACATGAAGGGAGAAGTAAATAGGGATCCCCATGTCAAAGGCAGTCTGCAGGGGTGTGAAAACACTGAGCTAGCGACCACTTTTGTCGTAGTTGGAGTGCACACATGTGATGTCCTCTCCAGGCTGAGACCCCATGGACGCGACAGTCAATCAGGAAGGCAAGGTGTCAGGGCACACGGAATGGCACAGTGGGGAGGGAGCCACCCGCAGATCAGACATGGCCTCCTGTTTTCTGACATGACTTGCAAGCTGGAAGGGTTGTTTGCTGAGGCAAAGGGGAAGAAGGAGAGGAGAGTGGGAGGAGGAGGAGGAGGAAAGAGAGGAGGGGAGCCCGGAGTAGAGGAGGAGAAGGAGATTAAGAGGCGAGGCATACAGAAGAGGAGGTAGCCTCAAACCTCCACCGAGCACTCCACTGTTTGTGCCATGCAGGGAAATAAGTCATTCGTATGCAGTTGTGTGTGTAAAGAGGTGCGTACAAGGTCATGAGAGATAGCCACCTCCTCCCGACCTGAATTGGGACCGGATGCACGTATCTCTTCCTAGTTCCATGAGAGCAATGTCTTCCCTGGCTTTTGGAATGATGATAGGACTCTTTTCTCTTCTACTCATTATTTGTATGTTGGTCCTTTTGATGATTATTATTCTCCTTGCCACCTTATTTCGACGATCTTTTTGATTGTTTCTGTTGGGTTTCCCAGAGAAGTGGATGCATAATGACAATAAATGATACAAGGGTGGATAGGGGCCTCAGGGGTTGTGGGGGTGGGTGCTAGGGAGAGAAAATGAATTTCAGGAATAAACAACTGAAAGCAGGAGTGGGGAGGGGGCACTAGAACTGGCTGTGGCAGCACAACTCATTTTAAAGGCAATTTAACCTTGGAGGGGCGGTTCTAACAGCAATCTGGTAATGATTGTACAATTCTCCTTGATATGACTGAATGGTTGAACTATTGAATTGCATGATATGTAAATTATGTGCCAATAAAACATAAAAAATAAAGTATTGATATGTCTAAGACTGTCGGGGGTGAGGAAGAAGCACTGGGGGAATGCAGCGGAACAGCAGGGGAGGGGAGCAGCAAGATCCCCAGGGAATGATGAGGGTG